CAGCCCTCACCTGCAACGTTGACGATCCCGCATTCGTTGCGGTCATCAAGTCGGGCTGAGGCGGAACGGGCGTTGTGCCAAACGACTTAGCCGTTGGCGATGGTCGTCTGTCCGCTCCAGCCGGCTTAGCCGGCGGGCATTTATCATTGCTCACTTGCATGCGCTGCAGGGATGCTCTAGGATTTTCATGTGATTTGAGTTCTTCTCGATATTGATTGTTCTGGTCAGCTGTCTTCGCAGCTACAACTTGGGTGTTAACCACTTCCAGCCTGGCTTTTTTAAGCTTTTCTCGAAGCTCCTGTTTTTCTCGTTCCGGTCTGGCTGCAGCGATTTGTTCTCTACTCTAGCCACCGCGACAGCAGCGGTGACCGTTTTGGCATCGACTGACTGATTAGTCGCCGCCACAACGGCCTGTCGTTCTGAAGCTAACATCTCCATATATATGTTCTCTGCTTCTCTCTCGGCCTGCCACTTAGCGGCCGCGGTCTGATGGTGCACCTGTTCCACCAATTCTTGTTCTCGCTCTCTGGCAGCCTTGGCTAGAGCGAGCCTTTCAGCCTCGAACGTCTTCCGAACTTCTTCCATGGTTGCAATCATCTCCTCTCGATCCAGTCGGGCCCTTTCGGCCAGCTGCGCTTCGCTTGCCGGGAACTCCTGCTGAGTCTTGACTTCAACGAGTCTAGCCTGATCCTGAATAGCTTGTATAAGAAGATATGTGCAGTTATGCTCGCTCATAAGGATGCAATCTTCACGCAACCATTGGTTGCTATACTTAAGGCAAACCTCAGAGCAGCTCTTCCATACTGGACGCCTACATGCACCCTCTGGTTTATTGGCTTTCCCCGGGCATCTGCTCTCCGCCTGAGGCGCGCAATCAGAATTCCAGTTCCAGCATGCGTCAATCATGGAGATATTACTGCTGCTCCTTGAAGCAGATCGCGCACCTGATCTCGGTATTTTGGGTCTTTCCCTGCTAGAAGCGTTCGATCGGGGACGCACAAACGTACCTTCTGGGGGTTTAGGTACCTCTCGAAGCTCCTCATCCCTTTCATCCTGTCTTCTAAGCTCAGTGTACGAAGCTGGTTGTCCAACCATTTCTTCATCCTCAACCGCAGCCGGCACCGAGGGTTGCCAATCGCCTGAGGCGACGGCGGGACGATAGAAACCTTCTTGAAGCGGTGAGTCGTTCAAATCGTAATCCTCGCCCCTCTGCTTCTTGAGTTGAGGTGCAGGAGTCCGCCCTGTAGACTCTCTATCGTGCTTCGCCTGAATCTCAGCCTTGTCCGCCTGAGGCACCAGGTCGCTGGTGTCTTCATCTGAACCATCTGGGGACCACCTCTCGCCTTGGGCGGGGTGGTCTGCATCCAGTAATGAGGACAATTCTCGGCTCGAGGAGACTCCTTTGTTGGCGTGACCGAAATCTTCCTCCATTGAATTTATTTCATGCTCTCTATCAATTGGATCATCACTATCCTGGCCAAATTGTCCGTTCAATGCTATTGGGATGGGAACGTTTCCACTCGTGCCTCCCCATCCGCCTGGGACATTGGGGTACACGCCTGTGGACTTGCGTGCTTCCCCCGATCCACTGGCTTCACCAGCGGCCGGCACGAATGCATGTGCAGCAATCGGAATGGGACTGATTGACTCCGTCGATTCGGCAATCAGTGACGAGAATGCTCCTCGTCTAGGTCTCGCTGTTGTGCCATTCCGCCCATGCGGGTCTGGGGTTTGTTCACGATTACCGATCGGAACTCCAGAGGGAGAGCCATCTTCCGACATCTCAACAACCTCTTCACTGCTTCTACCCCGAGAGACCCGAGTGACGGTATTGGAAGAAGGAAGGCGGCCCTGACCAGGGCCGCTTTCCTGTGGATCATGTCCGTCATGTTGCACAACATGCTGTTCAGCGTTTCGCGAAGTGACGGATATTTCATCTGTCTTATCATAGTTCATACCCGCAGCGACTGAGTCGCGGGGTTCATCAGAAGACCATGCTTCTGGCTGATATGAGCCCGCTTCGACGATGTCGCTGCTTTCGGCTGGTAACAAGTCTTTCCTGTGAAAATCGGGGTAAGATGACAAAGGAATTAAAATCTCATGTTCATTCTGCTCAGTGGGAGAGGGTACGGGATGAGACATCGATAAGACAAGTAACCGGTAAGCATGTTTACTCTATCAAGAATGGTAAGTGAGGTGGCCGGCCGGCCGACGACACGACGACGACGCGGGGACGACCCCGCGGCGCGCGCGAGCGGACCAGCTCGCACCTTTTATCTCCTGTAAGCAAACATACAGCTGCGGAAAATCACCGCAGTCATAATCAGACAGTCCGCAGCAATGCAAGTGATGTGGCAAGCAATATTAATATGAGGCGGAGGGGAGCTTATTTACTCGAGGGGGAGGAAGGAGGAGGAGGAGGAGGCCGTAGCAATTTTGGCTCAATGTCATGACCTCTCAAGTGTTTGAGAGAGCCGTGAGCTACGCGTGGTGGTCACCGCCAAACTGCCCACGGAACTGGAGAAATTCCCGCACGCGCGAGGCCTTGCTCGCCATGGCTTTCTCTCATGTTGCCTTCTATACTTCGCATGTCGTCTCTGACACGGCCACCCGCTATTCGGCGTATCTCTCATTTGCTTCTCCCCCATCACACGTTTCACCAGCATTGTCGGAAAGTGAGCATTGAATATGCAGCTCGAGAGCAGCGAACCCCTTCATCGATCACCAAGGATATCGACTTGCTTTTTGGCGGACCATCACTCGTGCCTAAACAAGTCGGCAAGGAAAAGCAGCTATCACAGAGCTCACACAGCCAGATGGACAAACATGCGCCTGAGTTCGCGCTGGCCCTCAGCCTAAGTACCCTGCTGCCTTTCATCCCCTCCGCCGCTACCAGCCGTCCGCTTCCTCGCCTCTCCCTCCGCAGAGACGCCAACGGCACCGTCGGCCCCCCGCACGTCGAGAACATGGTCTGACTGGCCCTCCCCAGCGGGCCGACCTCCCCTCGGCCGGGCCTGGAGGTCGGCCGGGCCTGGGGGTCGGCGAACCCACACATGTGAGAGACTTTCTCCGAGGCACCCGGAGCCAGCCTGCAGGAACGCAGCCGCCAACCGATTACAGCAGTGTTTTGCCTTCTCTTCTTGTCTACCTCCTCTATTCATTACGTACCTCATCCATTCCTTCCTCCTCCACAGCTCAATTGCTGCCCTGACTCGGCGGTCGGCGCTGCTCTGCACGGAGATGTAAAATCGGGTGGGGACTTCAGGTGAGGACGGGAGCTTCACACGGGGACGGACGAGGTAGCTCGACTGTGGACACGGGACCAGCTCGGAGCTCCGCACTTGGTCCTCACCGCACTGTGAGCTCTGGACCCTGAAGACCTTATCCTTCACGCTGCTACGGCCGACGAAGCTTCAGACAATTTTCACCTGGCCCCTGGCGTCAGCGTGCCCAGCTCTTTCCCCAGGGCAGAGCTTTTTTAGTCTGAACCCACCTAGGTTACATGTCGCCAGAACGTCGGGTTTTAACCAAGTTCGGCCTCACTTCAGTCCCTTGCTCCTGCTTTGTTACTCATTATCTGTACCCTCTGTCTTCCTACGCCCCTCCTCGGGCGCTCTCATCTGACCAGCCGCCGCGGCACTGGCGGAGCTACAGATCGGGGGGCGGGGGAATATAGAGGAGTGGGAGATGTCAGGATAGGATTCTGGGACGCGGCAACGCCCGCTTAGGGCCCTCCTGCCGAGCAGTCTCCCCTGTCCTCCTGAAGAGCTGCCTGGGCAGCCACGATGACGAGCCCGTCCCGCTGACGCCCTAGAACAAAAGAGCGGGCCCACTGCATGGGCGGGTGATCCCTCCTCGCCTGTTTGTCTATGCGCCCCCGTGTCAACCTGGCATGCTCTCTCTAGCAGCTTAGGCAACTCGCTTCCGCCGACAAGGTGGACGGCATGCCTGCCTCACCACGCCCAGGCCTGGAGCACCAGAGGCCAACGGAGGCTACGGAACAGGGTGCGTCGCCATCTGCGCTCTTATTGTCACGCTTTGCCTGAAGCCACTGCCCAGTCACGACCCACCATGGCTCGTCCATCCTCCCTCTCCCTCTCTCACATACTGCCTTCCTGTCTCTTCCTCTCCTTGGGCACGCGCCCGTGGCACCGGCACAGCCCCCATGTTGGGGGCCAGGTAGATGGCGGGAGGTTGGGCGGAGTTGGTGATGGCGGTGGGGCGACAGGAGGAAGCACCTGAACGCCAAAGCGCAAGAGCCACCACTGCTGGCCTCTCGCCGCTGGCGTACAGCACACTTTTCCGTAGCCGCCGCCTGCTGCCCAAGCAGGGCCACGCCTCCGTGTCAGCTTGTCGCCCTTTCCAGCAGTTTAGGCAGCCCGCTTCCGCCGACAGTGTGGATGGCATGTCTGCCTCGACACGACCAGACCTGAAGCACCGAGTCCAACGGAGGCTACGGAACAGAGTCCAGCGCCACCTGCGCTCTTCTTGGGGGAGGAGGAGGAGGAGGAGGAGGAGGAGGAGGAGGAGGAGGAGGAGAAGGAGGAGGAGGAGGAGGAGGAGGTTGAGCTGGAGGAGGACACGGCGGCAGCGAAGGGGCTGCGCCCACAGCAGCCACTTTGGAAGCACCGCTCGGTTCGAGCAGAGTACGCCGCGCCTGTCCCCGCATCTGCTCTTTTCTTGTTTGGTTGGCCCTCCGTGAGGCTCGTGAGGAGGGGGGGGGGGAGCACGTGCACACCACAGCACGACAGTCGAAGAAGGCACTGCCCAACCACCCAGCTAGAGCGGCTTGGGAGGCGGAGTGCAAGACAGTCGAAGACCTCACACCACCACCGGCTCGCATCCCTCCTCCCTTGCTCTCTCATGATCTTCCTACGCCGCTCCTCGGGTGCTCTCCTCTGGCCAGCCGCCGCGGCAACGGCGGGGCACGAGCTACACATACTACCAAACCTGTCTCCCTGTGCACCGCGTCACCCCGCAATCGCTGCCGCCAAGCTTTCTCACCGCTGCGCTCCTCTGCGCCCCTCTCGCCTCTGCACCCTACCGCGCGCCTCCCGCACCCAGCCGACTGGAGGGGGGGGGGGGGTTCAAGAGGATTGCACGGGGAAGGATGTCGGCGGACCTGGAGCTCTCCATCGAGGCCCTGGCCGGCCCGAGGACCCCCTCCAGCGCCCCTCCACCCGCTTTTGGAACGTAGGCGCCACGGCTGCGTTGTGTATGTGCCCCCTGTCTCTGTTCGAGGAAGGGGGCGCTTGACAAGTTCTTTGGACTGCTCGGGGCCTGTTCCCGCTCTCCTTCAGCCGTCGTGCCTGCTGCCCCCCCGCTCCTCCTCGCCTCTCCTGCTCCTCCTCCTGGCTGTTTGCCCTCTCGGGTCGTCCTCTTCTGTCGGTCTCCCTCTGCTCCTGGGAAAACCCTCAGCCCATAGTGGTTGAGCTGGATGTGGCTGCATTCGACGAACCATATACCCTGTAGCCGTAAGGAACCAGGAACCAGGAGCAGGAGGAGGAAGAGGACCAGTGCAAACCCAAGAATGATCAATTCCATTGCAATGAGCCCTCCCTCCAAACTCCCTCTCTATAGGCTCCTCGACTGATTCATGTTCGCATAGGAAATACCCCGTTGGAAGACAACGGTTTGAAAATCTAGAATGGTGCCAGAACACCATTGCTGGAACTTCAACGCCGCGAATCACCGTTACTGTTGCGTCTTGACGATCCCGAATCCTGTCAGCTAACCATTCCTGGGATTTCAAGACCGCGAATCAACTTGACTGTTGCGCCCTGACGTTCCGACATCGTGCCAAAACCGCATTTCTGGGATGTTATCCATGAAACCTTGAAGCTGCTGCGAACTTCGAAAGCGAATGTGCGCGGCGCCAAAGCGGGAGCCACACTTTGAAAAGGAGCCTGCATCCACGCGCGAAGATCTCGCAAACTGTTACAACGAATGTGCGCGGCAGTAACGCGAGAACCACATTTTGACAAGGAGCCGCCCTTCATCCGTGAAATGGCTGCAAACTGTTGAAACGAATGTGCACGGCGCCAAAGCGACAACCAAATTTTGAAAAGGGACCGCCCTCCACCCATGAAGCTCATGCAGTTTTTGGAACCGAGTGTGCGCGGCACTACAACGAGAGCCACATGTTGAAAGCTGGCCGTCCTCCATCTGTGAAGCTGTTGCAAATTTCAAGCTTCAGGATCATAGATCGTGATGAAGTCTCAAGCGAGACGCCCGCCCCGCCCTTTCGACCGGCCTCGGGGTGCGACAGGGAGGAATTATCTAGAAGGAAAAAGGATAGAGGAGGGAGGGAGGGAGGGAGGGAGGGAAGAGATAGGAGGAGCGAAGGGGTGAGGGAGGGGGGAGGAAGAGGACGACGAGGAATGGGGACAGGGAGTATTTGGAAGGAGGGGCCGAGGAGGGTGGAGGAGGAGTGGTGGGCTCGACAGCTGGTCATCCTCCTCCTTCTCCTCCCTGCTCCTCCTCCCTGCCTGCTGTTGCTGGAGCTGGGCCGCTGCGATGCCTGCGATGGCTGCGGAGCACGCCCCGTGGCGCAAGGTGGAAGCACAGCGGCACGGCGTGAGCGGCGTGCTCGCGGTGTGGCAGCTGTTGCTGGAGCAGTGCCGCGGGCTCAGGGCCGTGCCGCGAGGCTCGCCGAGCGGCCGCAGCTTGCCGAAGAGGTGCTCGGTGCCGTTGCAGGCGGCGACGGCGACCTGGCGGACAGGGTGCTCGCCGTGCTGCCCCGCCCTGAGGTAGCTCGCCACAGGGTAGCAGCCCGAGTGGATGGCCAGCCTGCGGCGCCACGCGGCGCTTCACGCCCAAGCGCGCGGCCCGGCTGGGCGCGCCCGCTCGGCAGCGGCGTCCGAGCCGCGCGCCGCCTGGCGCGGGCCGCGTCTGGGCAGCACCAGTGCGCACGAGGAGCCCGAGCTGGATGGCGCTGCTGAGAGCCACGGGGCTCTTCATTCAGAGGCGGGCGCAGGCGGGCACGGCCGACGGAACGATGCTGGTGGAGCAGGAGGCGCTTTGGCCCAAGCCTGCCGTCGCCTGGACGTCGCTGAGGGCGGATGCGGCGGAATCGTTTTCGCCGCAAGCGCCGCGGTCCCCTTGGTAGAGCTCGTCGGCGTTCGGTGCACGTGCGGCGCCATGGCGTACTCGAGCGTCTTGGAGCCCATCGAGGTGGTGTGCTGCTGGCCGCTGGCCGCAGGCGATGCCTTTTGGGCCCCTACGGGGGATGACTGCCCTGCTGCTTGGAGCTGTGGATGCTGTCGCCGAGGAGGGGCCGGGAGTTCTTGAGGTTGCATCAAGCTGTGATGGCTCCTCACATGAGCGGCGAAAAGAAAAGGGTCTTACACGAGATGGCGTAGCGACCTTACGCGGTGCCTTACGCGGACAGCCAGCCCGGCACGCTACATTGGAGACGAAGGCGCTCATGCGCAACTTTACGCGGGCAGCTTACGCGCGAATGTCGGCGCAGTCGCACCTGTTTTTTCTGCGTCTCTCACATGCCTGTGAATGCGGAGCCGAGAAGGTTGCAGTCGGTGGAAGCGATCGGGGAGCAGCAAGCTAGCGAGCCAGTGCCGAGCGGGCGCGGCTCCTGCAGGATATCGAGTTCTTCCAAGGCGCTGCTCGGCACCAGACGATTCGGACATCATGAGAAGCGCTTGGGGTGGGTATCCCGTCGCAGAGCTCTGCGCAGGCCGCGATCGAGACGGTCACAGCAGCGGCGCAGCCCCCCGACTAGCGATCCCTTCTGCGCGAGTTGAGGACGGTAACGGCCGCGGCATCAGCAGCAGCCACACCCGTGCAGCAGACGCCAACGGGGAGCCCAGCAGATCACACGCAGAGCTGAATCATGAATGCAGTGGGGATTGCTACGTGAAACGAGCCAACATTATATGCAGTTTTGTTCGTGTATGCTCTGCCAACGGCGCCATGTGCTGCTCGTGAAGCGGCGTTGGTGGTCTACTTCTGCATCCTGGGATTCCTACCATGCCGTCGCGTTCCTTGTCAAGCTCAGGGTTGTGGTCAGTCTTCAATCTGGCTTTGGTGTTGTTTCCATTGCATTCGCATTCCAATGCGCTCCATTCCATCACATTCAATTACGTACATTCCTCCTCCCCATCCCTCCTTTCCCTACCCCTCCTCCCTCCGCTGTGTGCTCGAGGTCAGGGCGTGTGCGGGAGGGGAAGGGGGTTGGGGCGGGGGGCGGGGGGCAGTGGGATAGGCGAATCAGATGCTGGTGTGAAGATCCTGGTGAGATGAAACTGAAGGGGGGCTGGCGTGTGGATAAATGCGTAGCGACGTTGTTTCTCCTGCGGGCTTCAACCACCTTCTGGCACCGCCCAAGTTAGGCGGCCTATTAAAAAGCCTGGAAGTGGCGAGACACGGGCCCAACCGAGGGGCGATAGGAGGTAGACGGGGAATAGGGGCGAGAAATGGTGGCGGTGGACGGGGTGGTGGCTGAGGTTCGGACAGAGCGATGAGGGATGGTGGTCGAGGCGAGGCGAGGCGAGGCGAGCGCCGACTCCGCTCCACGCACGCGCGGGGAGCGCCTCCTAAAGAGGACGGCGGCGGGGCCGCAACCCCTCAGAGGTTGTCAGTCCATCTTGTTCTTGGCCCGTGCGGGATGGTGGTCAAGGCGTCAAGGACGGACGAGACGGTGATGGTGGCTGGGAAGAGACGGTGGATCAGGGATGAACGATGCTGAGACGGTATGGAGGAGGGAGACTAAACGACTGACTGGGCTTCGCTGGTCATCTTCGACTGGGCACGAGCCCTCCTCTTCCTTCCCCTCCTGCTCGTCCTCCTCCTCGCCGTCCTCGTCCTCCCGCTCCTGCTCCGCCTCCCCAACCCCCGTGCTCCCCGCGGCGCCCCCCGCCCCCCCTCCCTTCCCAGGGCGCCCTGTTTCCGTCGCTGAACCCCCTGGCGGACCGAACAGCTCCGACGCGGATGGTAGAGGTCTCCTGGATGTGATCCGAGAAGATGGCGTCGGATGATTGCGCCGCAGCGCCGATACATCGGCGATGCATCAGCAACGTCGGTAATGCATCGGCGCCGTCGGCGTGGCTCCACGCATCGAGCCGCATCTCCGATGCATCGGCAATGCGGTGCTATCCTCCGATCCCATCTGCTCGGACCCCATCTGGGGGGCCTACGGTCAGGAATTCATACTTAGAATGTCGAGGCGGCGGCCCTGGCGACACGCGATACCCTAAGAGTGGATAGCGTGTCGCTCCGCCCCGCGTGGCGGGAGCCTGGGACGTGGACGGCTGGGGACCGCGAAGTGGATAGCGTGTCGCGTCGAATCGTGGTGGGCCAAGGTTACCGGCGGTGACCACAACGACAACGACGACGACCGCGACGACGATGACGATGTTGACGACAAAGACGACGTTGACGATGTTGACGACGACAATGGCGCCGACGACGACGACGACCAACACCACGACGACAACCACGACGACGACGGCGACCACGACGACGATGATGACGACGACGACCACCACGACCACGACCACGACGACGACGACAACCACCACGACCACGACCACGACGACGACGAAGACAACGACGTCGACCACGACGACGACGACCAAGACCACGACCACGACGACGACGACGTCGACGACGACGACACAGATGACGACCACCACGACCACGACGACGACGACGCCGACGTCGACGACGACGTCGACGACGACAACGACCACCATGACCACGACCACCACCACAATCACGGCCACGAAGACGTCGACGACGACGACGACGACAACCACGACGACGACCACAACGACGACGACGACGACGATGACGACGACGACCACAACCACAGCAACGACGACAACCACACGAAGACGACCACGACCACGACGACGACGTCGACGACGACGACGACCACCACAACCACGACCACGACCACGACGAGGACGACGACGACGTCGACCACGACGACGACGACGACGGGAAGACGAAGGCGACCACCACCACGACAACCACGACGACGACCACACGACGACGACAACGACGCCGACGGCGACGACGACCACCACCACGACCACGACCACGACGACGACGAACAACCACGATCACGGCAACGACCAAGACGACCACGACGACGACCACCACGACCATGACCACGACGACGAAGACATCAACGACGACGGCGTCGACGTCGACGGCGACGACCATCACGACCACGACGACGACCACGACGACGACGACAACGACCACCACCAACACCACGACCACGACACCGACCACCACCGCGACCACGACCACGACCACGACGACGACGAAGACGACGACGTCGCCGACGACGAGGACGACCACGACCATGACCACAACCACGACGGCGACCATGACGACGATGACGTCGACGCCGACGTCGACGACTACGACGACGATCACCACCACCACCAGCACCGCGACCACAACGACGACGACGTCGACGACAACGACGACCACAACAGCAAAACCATCGAAACCCAAGAAACCCAGGGCACCCTGGACGCAAGCACGGTGTTTCTTGGCATTGGTGTCCACTGTAAGTCAGAGTCCCCGACCGTATAGAGATGAGCTAATTAGGCGCCCCGCGCCGCCGGGGACCCCGCGCCGCCCCTCCCTGCCGCGCCCGCCGTGCCCGCCGCGCCGCGCCCACCCACCGGCGGCGGGCCGCGCCCACCAGCTGCGTGCGGGCCCCCGCCGGCCGCCGCCGGCGTCCGCGGCGGCTCGGCCGCCGGCGCGCCCCGACCCACGGGCGAGCCGCCCGCGGGCGCGTGCGCCGCGGGCGCGTGCGCGGGCCAGCGGGTGGCGCCAGCGGCCCGCGCGGGCTGCGGCGAGGCGCCGCCGAAGTGGGGCAGGGCGGCGGGGACGCCGTGCCTGGCGGGGGAGTCTGTGCGAGCCAGGCAGGCGTCTGGGTCCTGGCCAGGCGGTCTTGGCCCCTGCGCCGATCCTGGGCGCAGGATGGGCCCAGCCAGGATCGGTGCTGGTGTGCCCTGAGATCCGACGCTGCAAAACAAGTCGTGCCACCTCGAAACATCACGCCGACCAGAGCCCTATACCCAATCTTCCTGCGGCATCTTCCGAGCCAGATCCAAGGGCACGAACCCGGGCACGAACACACCCGCTGTGAAAAAATGCCGCACCCAGATCTCAAGGAGTGTAGCTGAAGGCCCCTCAGGGTGCCCGGCGTGCGGGTGGGCGGCGGCGGCGGGGAAGAACTGCTGGCGTTCCAGGCGTTCCTGCGGGGTGTCGCGTCGCGGGCCCCACGCCCCGGGCAGCGTCCTCCCACTCCTGCTGCTGCTCGTCCTTTCCCCTCCTTCCTCCTCCCTCCTCCTTCCTTCCTCTTCCCCCTCCAGCTCCTCCTCCAGCTCCTCCTCCTCCTCCTCCAGTCTTTCCTCGGAGATTCGGGGTAAACTGACACAGGAATTAAGGTCTCGTGTTGACTCTGCTCAGTAGTAGAGGAAGCGGGAAGAGACATCGATGAAACTGCAAGTAACCGTTAAGCAATTGTACTCAGGAGTAGTAAGGGAGGAGGCCGGCCGTCCGACGACCGACGACACGCGACGGCCGAGTGCTGGCGCGCTCCTTTTGTCTCCCTGAAGCACAAACAGCTGCGGTACGAAGCCGCAGGGTCAAGGTGTGGCAAGGCAGGCAGCGAGAGAAGCAAGTGTAAGAAGAGGCGGAGAGGAGTGTATTTACTCCCCCCGCGGCGGGCTTCGTAGGGCCCATCCAGCCACAGCTCGCCTGGCCTGTACATTTGTACAACCACTGGAGCGAACCGCAAAAACTTATACCGCTCAACGGTGGCTGCCAGGGAGCTGAGGGCCGAAGAAACCCGACGATTCCCACCAATGGTTCAATAAATTCTCTCTGCCGATACGACTTTGTCGTTCGGTTGAGCCCGCGGCGACTTGGTCGCGCGGGATCGGCCTAACTCAGATTTTGCCATGGATTTTCCCGCGATGGCGGAGTCGGAGGTCTCGGATTTGAAGATGACGAGCCTCCCTGCTGTCCCGCGGGCCAATGGGGCGAGCGGGATCTGAATACCCTGCCACGGCTGGCGTACAGCGGCGGCCTGTTGTGTTTGTCCTTGTTCTTGGAATCCTTTCCCTTCCTCGAAAAGTAAGAGTTGTAGTCACTCATGTACACCGCATGCCACGCGCGTGACCAGTTGTCGCTGTGGCTCATCCAGGATATCTCATTTCGGTGAACGTAGTACCCATCCAGTACATCATGTGTGTAGTGCGAGTAGTGCTTCGATGAATCCCAGCCGGCAGCGCCGCGGCCGACATCCATGGCTCCGCCGCGCGCGCGCATAGGCCTCGACCAGTCCCGCGTGTCTCTGTCTGAAGAATACCATGAGTGCTCATCACCTGCCACGGCGGCTTGACCGCTGGCAGAGTACGGAGATTCCGTGACTTCGTCGTGAGCCCGATCGCCTTGGACGTCGGATCTGCGTGGAGGAGGTGGCGGTCTGGGCCTCGCTTTCGCCAAACCGTCTGGCCGTATCGGCCCCTCCGCGCCGGCTTGGCCGTCGGGGGGCCCAGCGGCGCCTCCGCTCTCGCGAATACTCTTCACTCGCTTTTTAGCAAATCTAATAATGTCCCCTGCAGCAGTAGCAACAAGAATGCCAAACCTGCCGCAGGCAAGGCGACATGGGCCTTCATCTTTATCCTGAAGCTCCATCTCTTCGTCTTCATCTTTATCTTGAAGCCAATAAAGAGCCTCTCTTGCAACCCCATGCCCTGACGGCGGATGTCTATACGGCCCTGTTTACCCAATTCACGGGCCCATTCCTCAATGAGGTCATCCGTCTCAATCGCGGCACGAATGCGGCAGTCGAGGGCGTATGCATCTTTCTGGCGTTTGTCATTATCGTATTCTACGCCGGTGCCCTGGGCAAGAAAGTTAGACCCAGGGTATGCGATGCAATGTCCCTCGGCGATGAAGCAGCTAATGATCTCGCGAATAATCACCATTACACGAATGATGCGAAGACCCAATTCCAGTTCTGAAACATGAACCTTCCAGTTCCAATCAATGATGTCCCGCGCGCTATCTGGGACTTCGTGCGTTATCTCACCCGACAGTCGTAACCCATCAGGGCCGTTTGCCTCTGGGCGAAAGCTGTTGTATTCCATTGCATATTGGGCGGCCATTTCTTTGGCTCCGCCCTGGGTCAATGTGACGTTCAACGATTTGTCGTCACAATGGGAATACGTGTACCCGTTGGGTTGATCCAAATTGATCCTCCCATCAATTATCTGCTCGGTCTTGGACCCGCAGACTGCAGCGAAACCAAATGACATCTGTAGATTCACCTCACCTGCCGTCACGGTTGGACCGGCGGCAGGTTTGGTATGCGTACACGCTGAAACAAGACGGCGATCGGAACATGAGTTGATACGCCTGCTAACGGACTGGGAAGCACGACGAGGTCGTGCCACAAAACTATTTGCCCAGGCAACCGGTGGACGGCCACGAAGGCTGGGCTTTGTGACGTCCATGGCATTGTCCTGATCAACGGGCAGCCAAGGTGCTGCCCCTGCTTTTGCGTCGAGCGATGTCCGAAGCGTTGCCGCAAAGATGTTCGCGTTATTCATTTTGTGCTCCCATGCGATCCAACCTGCAGTTGGTTCATAGCATGTGTCAGGCTCCTCTGGCCACTCGAAGGCAGCCAGAGCAGGACAATACATTGGATGCGCATACTGGTCAATGTCCGCTGCCCAAAGTAAGGGCCACCAGTCTGCGATCGCTGGAGCTTGGGTCGCTTCTCTCTGAGCCAAATGTGCGAGCCATTTGATGAACCGCCTCTTCAGAGGCTCGAGGTACTGAAAGAAGGGACCGTGGCGCGCCGGCGGCTGGGCCGCGGCGTGTTCAGGAATCCGGGCGGGAACACTACCTGCACGGCTGTTTCCAAAGGTTTGACCCGAAGCAGCCAAGCGCCTGTGCTGATCATTCGTTGCCCATGTGCGCTCCTGCTGCAGGTTGTTGTTGATGTTGTATACTACATATGCCGAAGCTCTCCTTTGTCTTTCTACTCGCGCGCCAACATAAGTGTCGCGCACGCGAGGGGGCGCATCTGGGTCATTAACATGTAGAAAAATGCCATTCCTCTCAAGCAAGAGTTGAAATGACCCGATGTCGCCACGACTGAAGCATGTAGTCGTGGGCAACCTTATATTTGTACCTGATCGGATTGTTGCAGGAGGGGCAATGTCCAAAGCCAGTTCGCACCCAGTGCAAGTTAGCGCAAAGGAACCGACCATCGCCCCCCCAAGGGACGGACTGAACAAATGCTGTTGCCTCGGGAGGCAACTGAGGCATATGACCTGGGATCAAAGATAAAGTCTCGTCAGTATGAATCCAACCGAGCGTCGAGTTGTTATCAAAATTTACCTCGTAGGATGCCCACTCATGGTTGAAGACGATTGACCAAAACACTTTATTTCCGTTGGGACCCATCCAGTCGCTGACTTTGACAAGGGCGACGGCTTTGTCAATATCAGTGAACCTCGGCACCTCACGGGACACAAGAGTCCCGCCCTGGCAAATCCCGTGCGAAAAACGGGTGAGCACCCGGCCGTTGAAGACAAGAGTTAACGGCCAGGACTCCCTGTGAGTCGGAAGCTGGCCCCACAGAAGGACTGTGTCCTCTGCGGGCCATGCTCCGATTGATGGCGGCTCTCCTTGCTGTGCGACATTGCCCATGGCCGCGAACTTCCTCGCAGGAGCAGGGTCGCCATACCTCCGCTGGCTTAGCCACGAAGGAAGATGATCTTGTCTTCGCATGTTTGGATCCTTCTTGGCCGGGAAAAGCTTCAGCAATTCGTAGTCTGCCTCGAGGCAAAGCCCCGAGTCTCTTTTTTTGGGTACTGCACTTCTCTGGCCGTGGATTCCAGCAGCGTGCGCAAGTCAGCGATATGGAGGAGGGGCCCATGACTCCTGGCTTGGCCAGGGTCATAAGGCACATACATTCTCTCAATAGAAGCAACGAAAAAGGAATGTCCCTGGCATGCTCGATAGAGAAAAGGAATGGGAGAGGCACTCCTCTCCACCTTTTGAAAGGGCCGTGCTTTGTAGTCGATCCATTTGCTGTAAATGGTCGTCTCACTAATGCTGGCACTGTCGTTGGGAAGCACACCGAGGACCTCCGCAGTTCCCGGCTGCAACGCGGCTAGGCCGTGTGCAGCAAGAGCGCATGTCTGATAGTCAAATCCGTCCTCGGCGATCTTCTCAACCAGGTCTCCAAAGTAGACCCAGCCTCCCGAGGACCTCGCGTAATCAGAACAATGCCTCGAGAGATACGTTGCGCAATCACCGACGTGCCGAGCGAACTCGTCTACTCGGTAGCTTTGGGGTTTCCAAAAATCCGCACTGCCCAGGGCAGCCGGATTATTGGGATCATCGACCCCAACGACCAATGGTGTCAAACATTTAAAAGACTGAGGACTAAACCCTTCGGGAATGTCATTGGAATAAAACTCAGCACGGAGAAATTCTCGCGCCAAATCGAAAGTGTTCTCTTCTACGTCAAGTTCGCTCAATAGTGCAAATGTTGGATCTTCAACGAATTCCGCAATATATCTGAGCGTGCGATTCCTCTGACCTCAACCCGCGGAGGAACAGGACCAGTCATATTGGCCTCTCGACCCTTCTGCATTATATCGGCGGGCGGGCGCAGAATAACTCGAAGGCGTTCATTCTGCGAAATATATAGCACTCTGCCCCTAAAAGAGTTCGCGTGCCCGACATTAATTTCCTGGTCGCCCTCTTGGGGCGGATCATCCGTCGGCTGACGCTGCCGCTTATCAGGGGCCGGCGGCAACCTCTCTCTACAGAAGAAAATGACAGAGGCTGGGCCAGATCGGTACTGCTCTTCCTCAATGAGAATGAGCTCAGGATCCGCTTGATACGGAAAGCCATTGATTTGGGTAAGACCTGTGCCGGCCTCAAGGGACCCCGGAGTGTCTTGGACATCAGGGGCTCGATCCACGGAGGGTGGCTCCGCCGCGCGATGTCCGCTTGGAGCGGCATCTGGCGGCGGTGCCTTAGCAGCAGGTGCTCCCTCCTCATCGGAAGAACCTAGCTTCGTGGGGGAAGACTCGGCAATCTCTTGGGGTGCAGCGCGTGATGCAGCATCAGCGCCCGAGTCTACCATCACCTTGTCTTCCTTCACCTGTTCTTCCGCCGCTCTGGCTGAGCCAGGCGGAGGCGGAGGTAAGCTCGCCGTCGCGGCTGAGCCGGGCGGAGGAGCGGGTGGGGGAGGAAGTCCTTCCACTTGCAACAGATTTGCCTTCGGCGCGAGGCTGTGAGCGCTTGCTCTCGGCGGCGATCATAGGAGTATGAACAAAATATGGTGCCACCTTATGGATCTGCTCAACAACGACGTTTGCGAACTTCCCCCACGATTCCGAGCATTTGCCCGGCTCGCGTTTCCCTTTTATCTTGGCCTTCACGCAGATGCTCTTTGCTGTGCCGACATGCGCTTCAATCTCCTCACATGAGCGGCGAAAAGAAAAGGGTCTTACACGAGATGGCGTAGCGACCTTACGCGGTGCCTTACGCGGACAGCCAGCCCGGCACGCTACATTGGAGACGAAGGCGCTCATGCGCAACTTTACGCGGGCAGCTTACGCGCGAATGTCGGCGCAGTCGCACCTGTTTTTTCTGCGTCTCTCACATGCCTGTGAATGCGGAGCCGAGAAGGTTGCAGTCGGTGGAAGCGATCGGGGAGCAGCAAGCTAGCGAGCCAGTGCCGAGCGGGCGCGGCTCCTGCAGGATATCGAGTTCTTCCAAGGCGCTGCTCGGCACCAGACGATTCGGACATCATGAGAAGCGCTTGGGGTGGGTATCCCGTCGCAGAGCTCTGCGCAGGCCGCGATCGAGACGGTCACAGCAGCGGCGCAGCCCCCCGACTAGCGATCCCTTCTGCGCGAGTTGAGGACGGTAACGGCCGCGGCATCAGCAGCAGCCACACCCGTGCAGCAGACGCCAACGGGGAGCCCAGCAGATCACACGCAGAGCTGAATCATGAATGCAGTGGGGATTGCTACGTGAAACGAGCCAACATTATATGCAGTTTTGTTCGTGTATGCTCTGCCAACGGCGCCATGTGCTGCTCGTGAAGCGGCGTTGGTGGTCTACTTCTGCATCCTGGGATTCCTACCATGCCGTCGCGTTCCTTGTCAAGCTCAGGGTTGTGGTCAGTCTTCAATCTGGCTTTGGTGTTGTTTCCATTGCATTCGCATTCCAATGCGCTCCATTCCATCACATTCAATTACGTACATTCCTCCTCCCCATCCCTCCTTTCCCTACCCCTCCTCCCTCCGCTGTGTGCTCGAGGTCAGGGCGTGTGCGGGAGGGGAAGGGGGTTGGGGCGGGGGGCGGGGGGCAGTGGGATAGGCGAATCAGATGCTGGTGTGAAGATCCTGGTGAGATGAAACTGAAGGGGGGCTGGCGTGTGGATAAATGCGTAGCGACGTTGTTTCTCCTGCGGGCTTCAACCACCTTCTGGCACCGCCCAAGTTAGGCGGCCTATTAAAAAGCCTGGAAGTGGCGAGACACGGGCCCAACCGAGGGGCGATAGGAGGTAGACGGGGAATAGGGGCGAGAAATGGTGGCGGTGGACGGGGTGGTGGCTGAGGTTCGGACAGAGCGATGAGGGATGGTGGTCGAGGCGAGGCGAGGCGAGGCGAGCGCCGACTCCGCTCCACGCACGCGCGGGGAGCGCCTCCTAAAGAGGACGGCGGCGGGGCCGCAACCCCTCAGAGGTTGTCAGTCCATCTTGTTCTTGGCCCGTGCGGGATGGTGGTCAAGGCGTCAAGGACGGACGAGACGGTGATGGTGGCTGGGAAGAGACGGTGGATCAGGGATGAACGATGCTGAGACGGTATGGAGGAGGGAGACTAAACGACTGACTGGGCTTCGCTGGTCATCTTCGACTGGGCACGAGCCCTCCTCTTCCTTCCCCTCCTGCTCGTCCTCCTCCTCGCCGTCCTCGTCCTCCCGCTCCTGCTCCGCCTCCCCAACCCCCGTGCTCCCCGCGGCGCCCCCCGCCCCCCCTCCCTTCCCAGGGCGCCCTGTTTCCGTCGCTGAACCCCCTGGCGGACCGAACAGCTCCGACGCGGATGGTAGAGGTCTCCTGGATGTGATCCGAGAAGATGGCGTCGGATGATTGCGCCGCAGCGCCGATACATCGGCGATGCATCAGCAACGTCGGTAATGCATCGGCGCCGTCGGCGTGGCTCCACGCATCGAGCCGCATCTCCGATGCATCGGCAATGCGGTGCTATCCTCCGATCCCATCTGCTCGGACCCCATCTGGGGGGCCTACGGTCAGGAATTCATACTTAGAATGTCGAGGCGGCGGCCCTGGCGACACGCGATACCCTAAGAGTGGATAGCGTGTCGCTCCGCCCCGCGTGGCGGGAGCCTGGGACGTGGACGGCTGGGGACCGCGAAGTGGATAGCGTGTCGCGTCGAATCGTGGTGGGCCAAGGTTACCGGCGGTGACCACAACGACAACGACGACGACCGCGACGACGATGACGATGTTGACGACAAAGACGACGTTGACGATGTTGACGACGACAATGGCGCCGACGACGACGACGACCAACACCACGACGACAACCACGACGACGACGGCGACCACGACGACGATGATGACGACGACGACCACCACGACCACGACCACGACGACGACGACAACCACCACGACCACGACCACGACGACGACGAAGACAACGACGTCGACCACGACGACGACGACCAAGACCACGACCACGACGACGACGACGTCGACGACGACGACACAGATGACGACCACCACGACCACGACGACGACGACGCCGACGTCGACGACGACGTCGACGACGACAACGACCACCATGACCACGACCACCACCACAATCACGGCCACGAAGACGTCGACGACGACGACGACGACAACCACGACGACGACCACAACGACGACGACGACGACGATGACGACGACGACCACAACCACAGCAACGACGACAACCACACGAAGACGACCACGACCACGACGACGACGTCGACGACGACGACGACCACCACAACCACGACCACGACCACGACGAGGACGACGACGACGTCGACCACGACGACGACGACGACGGGAAGACGAAGGCGACCACCACCACGACAACCACGACGACGACCACACGACGACGACAACGACGCCGACGGCGACGACGACCACCACCACGACCACGACCACGACGACGACGAACAACCACGATCACGGCAACGACCAAGACGACCACGACGACGACCACCACGACCATGACCACGACGACGAAGACATCAACGACGACGGCGTCGACGTCGACGGCGACGACCATCACGACCACGACGACGACCACGACGACGACGACAACGACCACCACCAACACCACGACCACGACACCGACCACCACCGCGACCACGACCACGACCACGACGACGACGAAGACGACGACGTCGCCGACGACGAGGACGACCACGACCATGACCACAACCACGACGGCGACCATGACGACGATGACGTCGACGCCGACGTCGACGACTACGACGACGATCACCACCACCACCAGCACCGCGACCACAACGACGACGACGTCGACGACAACGACGACCACAACAGCAAAACCATCGAAACCCAAGAAACCCAGGGCACCCTGGACGCAAGCACGGTGTTTCTTGGCATTGGTGTCCACTGTAAGTCAGAGTCCCCGACCGTATAGAGATGAGCTAATTAGGCGCCCCGCGCCGCCGGGGACCCCGCGCCGCCCCTCCCTGCCGCGCCCGCCGTGCCCGCCGCGCCGCGCCCACCCACCGGCGGCGGGCCGCGCCCACCAGCTGCGTGCGGGCCCCCGCCGGCCGCCGCCGGCGTCCGCGGCGGCTCGGCCGCCGGCGCGCCCCGACCCACGGGCGAGCCGCCCGCGGGCGCGTGCGCCGCGGGCGCGTGCGCGGGCCAGCGGGTGGCGCCAGCGGCCCGCGCGGGCTGCGGCGAGGCGCCGCCGAAGTGGGGCAGGGCGGCGGGGACGCCGTGCCTGGCGGGGGAGTCTGTGCGAGCCAGGCAGGCGTCTGGGTCCTGGCCAGGCGGTCTTGGCCCCTGCGCCGATCCTGGGCGCAGGATGGGCCCAGCCAGGATCGGTGCTGGTGTGCCCTGAGATCCGACGCTGCAAAACAAGTCGTGCCACCTCGAAACATCACGCCGACCAGAGCCCTATACCCAATCTTCCTGCGGCATCTTCCGAGCCAGATCCAAGGGCACGAACCCGGGCACGAACACACCCGCTGTGAAAAAATGCCGCACCCAGATCTCAAGGAGTGTAGCTGAAGGCCCCTCAGGGTGCCCGGCGTGCGGGTGGGCGGCGGCGGCGGGGAAGAACTGCTGGCGTTCCAGGCGTTCCTGCGGGGTGTCGCGTCGCGGGCCCCACGCCCCGGGCAGCGTCCTCCCACTCCTGCTGCTGCTCGTCCTTTCCCCTCCTTCCTCCTCCCTCCTCCTTCCTTCCTCTTCCCCCTCCAGCTCCTCCTCCAGCTCCTCCTCCTCCTCCTCCAGTCTTTCCTCGGAGATTCGGGGTAAACTGACACAGGAATTAAGGTCTCGTGTTGACTCTGCTCAGTAGTAGAGGAAGCGGGAAGAGACATCGATGAAACTGCAAGTAACCGTTAAGCAATTGTACTCAGGAGTAGTAAGGGAGGAGGCCGGCCGTCCGACGACCGACGACACGCGACGGCCGAGTGCTGGCGCGCTCCTTTTGTCTCCCTGAAGCACAAACAGCTGCGGTACGAAGCCGCAGGGTCAAGGTGTGGCAAGGCAGGCAGCGAGAGAAGCAAGTGTAAGAAGAGGCGGAGAGGAGTGTATTTACTCCCCCCGCGGCGGGCTTCGTAGGGCCCATCCAGCCACAGCTCGCCTGGCCTGTACATTTGTACAACCACTGGAGCGAACCGCAAAAACTTATACCGCTCAACGGTGGCTGCCAGGGAGCTGAGGGCCGAAGAAACCCGACGATTCCCACCAATGGTTCAATAAATTCTCTCTGCCGATACGACTTTGTCGTTCGGTTGAGCCCGCGGCGACTTGGTCGCGCGGGATCGGCCTAACTCAGATTTTGCCATGGATTTTCCCGCGATGGCGGAGTCGGAGGTCTCGGATTTGAAGATGACGAGCCTCCCTGCTGTCCCGCGGGCCAATGGGGCGAGCGGGATCTGAATACCCTGCCACGGCTGGCGTACAGCGGCGGCCTGTTGTGTTTGTCCTTGTTCTTGGAATCCTTTCCCTTCCTCGAAAAGTAAGAGTTGTAGTCACTCATGTACACCGCATGCCACGCGCGTGACCAGTTGTCGCTGTGGCTCATCCAGGATATCTCATTTCGGTGAACGTAGTACCCATCCAGTACATCATGTGTGTAGTGCGAGTAGTGCTTCGATGAATCCCAGCCGGCAGCGCCGCGGCCGACATCATGGCTCCGCCGCGCGCGCGCATAGGCCTCGACCAGTCCCGCGTGTCTCTGTCTGAAGAATACCATGAGTGCTCATCACCTGCCACGGCGGCTTGACCGCTGGCAGAGTACGGAGATTCCGTGACTTCGTCGTGAGCCCGATCGCCTTGGACGTCGGATCTGCGTGGAGGAGGTGGCGGTCTGGGCCTCGCTTTCGCCAAACCGTCTGGCCGTATCGGCCCCTCCGCGCCGGCTTGGCCGTCGGGGGGCCCAGCGGCGCCTCCGCTCTCGCGAATACTCTTCACTCGCTTTTTAGCAAATCTAATAATGTCCCCTGCAGCAGTAGCAACAAGAATGCCAAACCTGCCGCAGGCAAGGCGACATGGGCCTTCATCTTTATCCTGAAGCTCCATCTCTTCGTCTTCATCTTTATCTTGAAGCCAATAAAGAGCCTCTCTTGCAACCCCATGCCCTGACGGCGGATGTCTATACGGCCCTGTTTACCCAATTCACGGGCCCATTCCTCAATGAGGTCATCCGTCTCAATCGCGGCACGAATGCGGCAGTCGAGGGCGTATGCATCTTTCTGGCGTTTGTCATTATCGTATTCTACGCCGGTGCCCTGGGCAAGAAAGTTAGACCCAGGGTATGCGATGCAATGTCCCTCGGCGATGAAGCAGCTAATGATCTCGCGAATAATCACCATTACACGAATGATGCGAAGACCCAATTCCAGTTCTGAAACATGAACCTTCCAGTTCCAATCAATGATGTCCCGCGCGCTATCTGGGACTTCGTGCGTTATCTCACCCGACAGTCGTAACCCATCAGGGCCGTTTGCCTCTGGGCGAAAGCTGTTGTATTCCATTGCATATTGGGCGGCCATTTCTTTGGCTCCGCCCTGGGTCAATGTGACGTTCAACGATTTGTCGTCACAATGGGAATACGTGTACCCGTTGGGTTGATCCAAATTGATCCTCCCATCAATTATCTGCTCGGTCTTGGACCCGCAGACTGCAGCGAAACCAAATGACATCTGTAGATTCACCTCACCTGCCGTCACGGTTGGACCGGCGGCAGGTTTGGTATGCGTACACGCTGAAACAAGACGGTGATCGGAACATGAGTTGATACGCCTGCTAACGGACTGGGAAGCACGACGAGGTCGTGCCACAAAACTATTTGCCCAGGCAACCGGTGGACGGCCACGAAGGCTGGGCTTTGTGACGTCCATGGCATTGTCCTGATCAACGGGCAGCCAAGGTGCTGCCCCTGCTTTTGCGTCGAGCGATGTCCGAAGCGTTGCCACAAAGATGTTCGCGTTATTCATTTTGTGCTCCCATGCGATCCAACCTGCAGTTGGTTCATAGCATGTGTCAGGCTCCTCTGGCCACTCGAAGGCAGCCAGAGCAGGACAATACATTGGATGCGCATACTGGTCAATGTCCGCTGCCCAAAGTAAGGGCCACCAGTCTGCGATCGCTGGAGCTTGGGTCGCTTCTCTCTGAGCCAAATGTGCGAGCCATTTGATGAACCGCCTCTTCAGAGGCTCGAGGTACTGAAAGAAGGGACCGTGGCGCGCCGGCGGCTGGGCCGCGGCGTGTTCAGGAATCCGGGCGGGAACACTACCTGCACGGCTGTTTCCAAAGGTTTGACCCGAAGCAGCCAAGCGCCTGTGCTGATCATTCGTTGCCCATGTGCGCTCCTGCTGCAGGTTGTTGTTGATGTTGTATACTACATATGCCGAAGCTCTCCTTTGTCTTTCTACTCGCGCGCCAACATAAGTGTCGCGCACGCGAGGGGGCGCATCTGGGTCATTAACATGTAGAAAAATGCCATTCCTCTCAAGCAAGAGTTGAAATGACCCGATGTCGCCACGACTGAAGCATGTAGTCGTGGGCAACCTTATATTTGTACCTGATCGGATTGTTGCAGGAGGGGCAATGTCCAAAGCCAGTTCGCACCCAGTGCAAGTTAGCGCAAAGGAACCGACCATCGCCCCCCCAAGGGACGGACTGAACAAATGCTGTTGCCTCGGGAGGCAACTGAGGCATATGACCTGGGATCAAAGATAAAGTCTCGTCAGTATGAATCCAACCGAGCGTCGAGTTGTTATCAAAATTTACCTCGTAGGATGCCCACTCATGGTTGAAGACGATTGACCAAAACACTTTATTTCCGTTGGGACCCATCCAGTCGCTGACTTTGACAAGGGCGACGGCTCTGTCAATATCAGTGAACCTCGGCACCTCACGGGACACAAGAGTCCCGCCCTGGCAAATCCCGTGCGAAAAACGGGTGAGCACCCGGCCGTTGAAGACAAGAGTTAACGGCCAGGACTCCCTGTGAGTCGGAAGCTGGCCCCACAGAAGGACTGTGTCCTCTGCGGGCCATGCTCCGATTGATGGCGGCTCTCCTTGCTGTGCGACATTGCCCATGGCCGCGAACTTCCTCGCAGGAGCAGGGTCGCCATACCTCCGCTGGCTTAGCCACGAAGGAAGATGATCTTGTCTTCGCATGTTTGGATCCTTCTTGGCCGGGAAAAGCTTCAGCAATTCGTAGTCTGCCTCGAGGCAAAGCCCCGAGTCTCTTTTTTTTTGGGTACTGCACTTCTCTGGCCGTGGATTCCAGCAGCGTGCGCAAGTCAGCGATATGGAGGAGGGGCCCATGACTCCTGGCTTGGCCAGGGTCATAAGGCACATACATTCTCTCAATAGAAGCAACGAAAAAGGAATGTCCCTGGCATGCTCGATAGAGAAAAGGAATGGGAGAGGCACTCCTCTCCACCTTTTGAAAGGGCCGTGCTTTGTAGTCGATCCATTTGCTGTAAATGGTCGTCTCACTAATGCTGGCACTGTCGTTAGGAAGCACACCGAGGACCTCCGCAGTTCCCGGCTGCAACGCGGCTAGGCCGTGTGCAGCAAGAGCGCATGTCTGATAGTCAAATCCGTCCTCGGCGATCTTCTCAACCAGGTCTCCAAAGTAGACCCAGCCTCCCGAGGACCTCGCGTAATCAGAACAATGCCTCGAGAGATACGTTGCGCAATCACCGACGTGCCGAGCGAACTCGTCTACTCGGTAGCTTTGGGGTTTCCAAAAATCCGCACTGCCCAGGGCAGCCGGATTATTGGGATCATCGACCCCAACGACCAATGGTGTCAAACATTTAAAAGACTGAGGACTAAACCCTTCGGGAATGTCATTGGAATAAAACTCAGCACGGAGAAATTCTCGCGCCAAATCGAAAGTGTTCTCTTCTACGTCAAGTTCGCTCAATAGTGCAAATGTTGGATCTTCAACGAATTCCGCAATATATCTGAGCGTGCGATTCCTCTGACCTCAACCCGCGGAGGAACAGGACCAGTCATATTGGCCTCTCGACCCTTCTGCATTATATCGGCGGGCGGGCGCAGAATAACTCGAAGGCGTTCATTCTGCGAAATATATAGCACTCTGCCCCTAAAAGAGTTCGCGTGCCCGACATTAATTTCCTGGTCGCCCTCTTGGGGCGGATCATCCGTCGGCTGACGCTGCCGCTTATCAGGGGCCGGCGGCAACCTCTCTCTACAGAAGAAAATGACAGAGGCTGGGCCAGATCGGTACTGCTCTTCCTCAATGAGAATGAGCTCAGGATCCGCTTGATACGGAAAGCCATTGATTTGGGTAAGACCTGTGCCGGCCTCAAGGGACCCCGGAGTGTCTTGGACATCAGGGGCTCGATCCACGGAGGGTGGCTCCGCCGCGCGATGTCCGCTTGGAGCGGCATCTGGCGGCGGTGCCTTAGCAGCAGGTGCTCCCTCCTCATCGGAAGAACCTAGCTTCGTGGGGGAAGACTCGGCAATCTCTTGGGGTGCAGCGCGTGATGCAGCATCAGCGCCCGAGTCTACCATCACCTTGTCTTCCTTCACCTGTTCTTCCGCCGCTCTGGCTGAGCCAGGCGGAGGCGGAGGTAAGCTCGCCGTCGCGG